ATCTCGCGTTTATATTGTGCAAGAGAGAGAGAGGGGTATAATAACGCGATACTTATTAGGCCTAATCTCGCGGGCGATGAATAAACACCCCAAAGGTGATGATTGTACTTTACTGTAGTGGGTTTCTTTTTTTTTTTTTTTTGTTTTTTTTGCTCGGTTTGTTTTGTCCCTTTTACGCGTTTTATTGCCAAAGGGCGGTCGTTTCTGGAATTAAATGTTCCCGTTGTTGTCGAGTGTACGTTGAAAAGTTTCAATTTTACGCACACTCTGCGTCACCGCCGTCTGGGCGCGGATAACCGTTTGCCTTTCATCTCGCTTTTTATCTCATTTTCGGGGAACAAATTCCAGGGACAGCCACGTCCCGTCGAGCCCTCGTAAAGAAGCGCGGGTGGTGTGCGAAGGTATATCACAAGGTCCGAAAAGGAGAGGAAAAAAAAAATGGCCCCGAGGGAGTAAACGCGATCCATAAAGCAGATGAAAACTTTCGTAAATTTGTTCCCTTTTCACGGAAATTTTACCCCAAGACGATGATCCAGGCCAGATATCTTTCGGCGTTCCTGCTTACTGTCGATACGATACATTACCCGAGGCATTGCGCGAAAAAAAAAAAAAAAAAAAAGATGAAGAAGAAATTGTACACGTTATGTATCGTAATACGAGTCAACGAGGCGCTGCACTTCTTTCGACGCGTTCACGCTCGAGCGGTACCTTTTTTACTTCTTCTCCTTCTTCACTGTACTTGTGAGTGTGTGTGCATGGGATTCAGTGTTTGCACGCGCGGTCTCTCTCTCCCTACAGCCTAGCTCCAGAGACCAGATGGCCCCATCCCCCCATCGGCCCACCCCCCCTCGTTATTGACAGATTATTAGTTCCCTTTTCTCGGCCTCTCTCTCTTTCTTCGTATGGTGTGGGAATAGAATAACGCTCTCGAGATAGAGCTTTTGTGTGTATAAAGTCATGTTTGTTTGCTTTGAAAATCCTTTTGTACAACGTGTGAGTACATAACTCTTTGACTTTTGCACCATTACATCTATAAGGGGGGTATACGTGTTGGTTATAAAAATGCCGTTGTATGTACCAATATAACGTGGAGTGTGGTTTTTTTTCTTACATTAGTTTTTACATTTTTTTTTTTTTTCAAACTTTTACCAAAGCTGAGTCATGGCCATTTACGGCCATTATACATAAAATTAGCATGAAATAAGTGTGTGTAATCGTTTCAAGCTGTGCGAATTTTGCAAACACATGTACTGATTTTAAATAAAAGTGACCTCTGGGTCTGATGTTGACTAAGTTATATATATAACGAGTGCGAGTGAATAACATGAAATTGAAAGAATGAAAATTAACTTCATAGTCTGAATTGAGAAAAAAAAAAGTGTCGTTAAAATAATAGTTATTCTCTCTCCCGGGAGTGTCTTTAACTGTTCCAACATAAAAGCGGGGGTGAACGGCGGGGCGGTGTTGGCTGTAGAGGGGGTCGAAGGGAAGAAGAACCCAATAAGGCATCATAGGGGGTGGGGGAGGGGTTAACCAGAGCCCCGGGAATAATACAAACGAGCAAGACTAATTAACGTCCAGTTCACCGGCTTATTATCACTCGTTAGCCGCTGCACGGCCACTCGTGCGTGTCATTGTACGCGTCGGCGCCAACTCTCTCTCTCTCTCTTACACTCTTGTTTATCCATATATGTATAGGTATATGTGTACATATTAAGTGGGTGTATGTTTTATAAGCGCGAGCGCGTGCTCTGCATGGGAGTAGGTACTGAATTATGAAAATTGCCCCGTGTAAGTAAGAATACGCGCGCTCCGCGAAGCACCGCAAGAATGATCAACATTCAGATTTGTCATTCCAGAGAGCGCGCTTGCATGTACATATTTTTTGTTTTTTTCCATGCACGTGGTTCGTATGTGCGTGTGTGTAACCCGTTTCCTCCTCTATAGTCCCTCGAAATTAAAAATTCTTCAAAAAAGCGGGCTTGAATACAATTAGGGAAAATAACAATGCATACCGCGAATTGTTTATTATTTTTATTATTTTTTCCCTCTTTCCGAGTCCACATTGGATTTTCTCTTTAGGTCGGGTGCCAGAGGAATTCGTGAAAAATCGAACATTATAGGTATACTTATTGCATGGCGAAGGCGAATCCGATTACCTCTCGCTGATTACTAGTCCAGAGCTGATCGCCGACTTTTAAATGTTAATACGCGATTTTCGGGCGTCTCGCTTTGTATGACCTCATCTATATGTATACTGCAGTCTCTATAGTACGTATACCTATGTACTCCGAGGAGTATGGTATAAATCAAGGATGGAAATCGGAATACGGTCGCGTTACTTTGCATGCGGCGTTGTATGCTCGGCCTCTTTTTTCTCTCTATATTATACCATATACGTGCGCAATTGCTCATGATTATTCGAACAATGGAATTTTTAGACTCGCGTATCTTGATTTTGTTCCTTGGAAAATTGAAAACAAACCTTATGTTTTGTTTTTGCTTCACTTTGTGCAGTGCATACTTTTTTTTTTTCTTTTTTTTTTTTTTTTTTTTTTTTTTTTTTTTTT